CCAATGTCAGAGAGATATCAGCAACTACTCCAAACATGATTTTTTTCCCTCTTTATTAGGAAAAAAATATAGAATTAAAATGGTACAGCAAGGAATAGGAACATGTGCTGAGACTACCTGGGTTCAAATCCCAGCTGAACCACTTACTCTGTGGTCTTGGGCTAACGTAACCTCTCAGTGCCTCAGTTTACTCATGAATATAATGTGAATATTAAAAGCACCTGTGTGATAAGGATTCAGTCACTAACTGAGTGAACGAATAAGTGAATGAATAACTCCAGAGTCTGACACATAATTAGCACTGTATATGTTTTTTTAATTATGTTTCTCCAACCTTAGCCACGCTGACCTGCTTATTTTCAGATGAGCACTCCTTGAAAATTGATAGCTATAGATACTATTCTTTAAAGACCTTATCATCTTTAACATTTGAAAAGAATTTTGTGAGTCTTATGAAAAGTCTTGCTTTATAATCATGAATATGTATAAAGTACCACATGTTTGCTAATTTTGTCTGAAAGTTGAATATCTCATGTTACATTTTATAGTGCTTTATCTTTTCATTATGCATACTGAAAGGTATTATTTTCTTCTTGAATAAAAGCTCTGAGGAATATTGAAATTCTAATTTTGTATGTACTCTGCAAAATTCTAGAATTTAAAAGAAGTTTATAATAAACGTGATGTATTTTTGAAATATTATAATTAAAAGACACCGTATACCTCTGCAGCCTAACTCAAGAAGTATGTACTGAGCTGTCTTGGGAAGTTCAGTATGTGTGTAAGGGCCTGAATTGGAAGGTAACACTTGAGAGCAGATATGCAAAGGAAAAAAGAGAAGGCAATCAATAATCGATAAACCACTGACTGTTTCCCGCCGTAAGATGGTTTTGGCTTTTATTAAGTGTCTCAAGCTGTTAGCATCTGTAGCATGTAATTTTGTGGTTGGCAGAGAATGGTGTGCCAAGCTCTCGGAATATCACCAGGAGTGTATTTCACACTCCTGTTAATGGAACTTTACACTCAAATTAGACCTCCAGTATTTCTCTCGTATTTGGTGGTTGTTAATGTCTCGGTAATTCAAAACAGGACTTTTTTGTAGTTGCGTACAGTGTGAATTATAGGTGGAAGGGAATAGACCCAGAGAGGTGAGAGACACATGTAGGGAGGTTATTCCAATAAGGTGATAGAAGTGCTGACGGGAAGAGAAAGAGACCCCAAGCCCTACTGCGAAACCACCTCCATATTGAGTTATGTAAGAATTGGCATTATGTTGTGTGTGTGTGTGTGAGAGTGAGAGAGAGAGAAACTGAATTAACTGAAAACAGTATGTGACTTGTAATCACTCTTTAAACTTTGAAATGATTTAATTACTTTCAATTAAGCCCTATTACTCAGTAGCCGAATAACCTTGGATAATGACTCTCCTTCATCCTTAAAATTGGAATAGTGATACTCAGCCAAGTGGATTATTGTGCAATTTAAAAGCATGTGAAAATGCTTTGTATAGTCTAAAACTACATAGGTAAAATAAAGGAATCCAGTATCCCTATCTGTCTCTTATAAAGCATAAACATTTGCCTCAGAACTACACTGAGAGTACCTGAAACTTATTTTCTTTATTACTTTCTCGTTTCAGTTATCTCCTTAGAATTAATTTCTAGGACTAAAATCATTCATAAGGAGAAACATCATTATACTCTTTCTGTATTGTTTTCCACAGTGATTGGACTAGTTTTCCAGGTTACAAGTAGAATGGAATTTTACCAGTTTCTCAGCTACCTCATCAGACCTGAGTTTAATGTTTATAAATGTTTCTCTGATTTTGTGATCATTAAGATCTCCAATGTTAATTTATATGCTTTTAATTCAACAATTTTTACAATTATTTTTAAACTATATGTATTTTCTCTTTTTTGAAATATTTGTCCAATTACTTTTCAATTTATTATTAATAAATATTGTTGAATAAAACAATTAATGTTATTTACATTAGCCTTATTAGTAACAATTTATTATATTTGATAATTAACATTTTATTAATTAATAATGAAGGACTTACATTGATAAAATAATTACTTAAAAATAAATAATTAAAATATTGAAATTTTGCCAGTCACATTTGATACTGTTTTCCTAGTCTATTTTCTTTTTAACTTATTTTATTACCTGTATAAATATTTATTTTTATAGTTATTTTTCGTACATGTATGTATTTTTCCTTCGTGATTTTTGTTTTCTGTTTCAAAGTTGAATATAGTATTTCTTCACAGAACTGGTATATATCCTCTTTTCCTTTTACCTCTGTTATTTTTTTCTGTAGGTTGTGTTTTATCAATATTTACCTTTTTTAAAATCATCTGGAGTTTATTTTGAAATGTGGTGGAAAAAGTATGGTTCTGACTTAATTGACCTCTCACCATTCTAACCCTCTGTAACTCGCTCTTTCCTCCTTCTCTTTCTCCTAATCTGACTCCCTGCGTCCTTCCTTCTTTCCCTCCTTCTCCCTATCCTTTCTTCCGTCTTGTCTCCTCTTCCTCCTCTTGCTCCATAAATATAAGCCATTATCTTGAATCATTTCTCAACTCTTCTCCCTATATTATATTCCTGAAGGGCTTATCTCCTCACATTTCAGTGTTCACCTCTTTTCAATTTATTTTTTTTAAATAATAAGTGGAATTACGAGTACAAGGCATGGTGCTAAATGTTTCAGTGTAATCTAACAACTCAATACGTGTTCATGTCTGTGCTTTCACGCGTGAAACAACTGTGACTCCAGAATCTAAATTATCCAACACCACAAGGCTAGCAGATATTGAAGCCTAGGTTCCCAGCCCTTGTTTAACTCTAAGACCTTATCTTAACTTTGATGCTGTATTGCCTCAGCCACCTAGTCTCCCCATTAGCCATCAAACACTGGTCATTCTCTCTGTCCCTCTCTCTCTCTTCCTCCCTCTCTCTCTTTCTCTTTCTCTCTGCAGTATCTTTTAAATCCATCCTTTCCCTCTCATTCCTACTGCTCAGGCCATGTCTAAGTCTCTTTCCATATCATTCCTTACTTCACAAATCCCACTAACGTTCACTCTATATTTGACCAATTCATAGACCAATCTCTATCCACCACCATCCTTCATGTATATAGAATAGAGAATATTCTAATATTCTTGGTATGATATTTGACTGTTATTGATAACCAGATTTTCCAGTGGCTCATCATTCATTTCCTTTAGTAATATATTGTGGACTAGAAGATTTTTGATTTTGTTAAAACTAACCTCTACTCTTAGTTCCTACTGCAAATTGTACCCATCCGTACCAATCACTCACTAATAATATGTAATTAGCTTGATGAATCCTGTATTTCTGAGAATGCACTTTTATTCTTTTTTCTTTCCTACCTCCTTCCTTCATTCCTTCTTTCTTTCTTTCTTTTTGGTCTTACTAAGGATCATTGTTTCAGGTCTTCTACTGGGGGTCCTAATCTGACTTTGCAAGTGGTGGCATGAGAAGTGGACAATAGGAAGCTCTAGTTTGTTGGCTCCCTATTCAATCAAAGTCTAGATGGTTTTGTAGTTAATTGAGGTCAAAGTTTAGCCATTCCTGGTAGTCTATTTTTGCCATGAGTCTCCTCTTCTAATTTTTCTTTCAATCCAGGGAAGCTTCTAAATGGAAAGATGGATACATATACCCAGGCAGACATGTTTTTTCCTGCCTCTCAATTATTTATCTACTTTTGTGATAATTAGCCTATTGCCTTGGCATGGACTTTTTAAGAATCAGGGCTTTTTAGTTAGGAAAATTAGAATACTTAAAACATGATCAAGCCAATGGAAGTGCTAAGAAAAAGTGATATTGAGCTGGGCTCTGACCAGGTCTTCATTATAAGCATTACAAACTAGTGAGGCCTGAGGGAGTCCTAAGGCTTCATCACTTGCAGCTTCTGTCTCCTCTCCATGTGATAGGTTTTACATTTTCTCACCTGTTACTGCACACAATGTGATGTGCTGCGAGAAAAACATTCATGATGTGTAAGATATTGTGAAACTGAAAAGAAAAAAAAATGTAGTTTGTAATATAACTGAGTTTATTGCAAAGAATTGGAAGTTTCTCTTCGATGGTTTTCATCAAAGAGGTGAAACTAGACATTGGAGGCAACACAGTGAAAAGGTAGGTTTCAAGAGAGATTCGTTGGCCACTTAGAGGTACAGGACCATCTACATTTATTGTGGGACTGACAAAAATTCAGAGTCAAGCCTCCATCCCACAGTTCTAAATCAAAATTTTTGGAGGTAGGTACCAGGAATATTCTTTTAAATTGTCTTTCTCCCCTTTCCCAACTCACATGCACACTATACACAGACTCATAGGCAATTGTTACACATACCACAGTTTAAGAACGAATGACAGAGGCGAAAAAGTAGAGGCTGAAGGAATGAATTTTGGAAATACTTACATTTATAGGAGAGGAACATGAAGAGGAGACAGGGAAAATACAAAATCAAACAAAAACAAAATTAAGATACATAAACAGTAGTCAGAAAAATTAGTGTAATTTAATCCAGAGGAGAAAAATTTGACCTAGAGAAAGCACATACTGCGTTGCTGTATTATGCTATTTAGTCAGTGTTCTTCAGAGAAAAGAAACAATAGGAGATCCATATACATCTCCTATTGTTTAATATTAAGATCCTTTATTCACTTCTCATGTTTGATTTCTTTGTGTTTTCTTCAGTTCTACATTACAGTTGTGTCTACTAGGAGCTGGATAATCATTCCCTTAAATGAAATTTGAAATTGCTAGGCATATCAATTAGGATATGCTGGTTATTTGTGACAGTTGACTGCTTCTAGTCCATCTTGTTATATTAAAAAGTCACTCAAGGGCTGGCCCGGTGTGAACTGGTTAAGTTCTCATGCTCCACTTAGTGGTCTAGGGTTCGTGGGTTCCAATCCTGGGCACGTACCTACAAACCGCTCATCAAGCCATGCTGTGGCAGTGTCCCACATACAAAGTAGAGGAAGATTGGCACAGATGTTAGCTCAGGGTGATCTTCCTCACACATACACACAAAAAGTCACTCACCTAAAATACCCACTACCTTTCTTTTGTAAAGAGGTAATCTACCTGGCTTTCCTCACAGTTGCCACCCATGCAGTGCAAAGGTATTGGTATACTTTGGCTCTTGCAATTATGGAGGCTGAGAAGTCCCATGATATGCCATCTACAGACTGGAGACCCAGGAAGGTGATGTAGTTCTAAGGGCTAAGAGTGAGAGAGGAGAGCTGATGGTGTACATTCCAGTCCTAGTCTGATAGCCTAAGAACCAAGAGTACAGAATGTAGGAGAAGATTGGTATTTTCCCTAAGCAGTCAGGCAGAGAGCCAACAAGTCCCCCCTTCCTCCATCTTTTTGTTCTATTCAGGCCCTCAGTGGGTTGGATAATGCCCACCCACATTTGGGAGGGCCATATGCTTTTCTTAATCTACTGCTTCAAATGCTAATTTCTTTTGGAAACACCCTCACAGACACACCCGTATAATATTTAATCAGCTATCTCAGCAACCTGTGATCCAGTCAAGTTGACACATAAAATTAACTATCACAATTGCTAAAAGAATTTACCAAAAAAAGACGTTGAAAAGAAGATAATATATTTAAAAATTAGGAAATCATTGGAGATGTCTAGGAGGAGACTCTGCTCTTATTTGGGATAGAAGTCAGGATAGAGCTATGGAGAATAGATGTGAGTGGCCAGATGTCTGGAAATTGAGGACTGGAGCAAGAAGTTTAAAAATTTGAAGTGGAGAAATAATAATAGACAGAGATTCTAGCTCTGCTGTTAATATGCAGAAAGGTCCTTGGCAAGGTTTGGACTAAAGGATTTCGAATGTACCTTATAATTTTAAAAACCTATGGGTAATGGAACAACTAGGTCTATGTGTCCTTTTAAGATTTTCGAGACATCTTTGTTCCTACCTCTCTCTGGTGCTGATCACAGTCTGCCCCTATGGCTCAGTGAATGCAGGTTGCGTCATTTCTTTGGTGCTTCCTTCTCAAAAGACACGTAAACTCAACAGCACTGCAGCATGCCCCTTTTTCCACAAGGAAGAGAAAGAAAGAGGGAAAGAAAAGAAAGAAATCAATATTTGCAGGCAGAGGAGAAAGGGCCAAGAAGTCAATGTAAAATGTTCATCTGGCATAATGCAATGAGCAGCTGCATGCTGCACCCCACAATGAAGGAGAACCCCTGACCTTATCGTTATTCCATCCTTTTAATGGTTCTAATGGATACATATTTGTTGAAATGTAATTTCTGTACAGTCGTGCATCATGTGTCGCTCAACAACAGGGACATGTTATGAGAAATGCATCGTTAAACAATCTTGTCATTGTGTGAACGTGATATAGTGTACTTACATGAAACCTAGATGGTATAGCCTACTACACACCTAGGCTATATGATATTGATCTCAAGGGACTGTCTTTGTATATGCAGTCTGTCATTGACTGAAATGTTATGCAGCACACAACTGTAGTCATACTAATGGTTGACATTTTTGCTTTAATGATCAGAAGGTATTTAATATTAAAAGAACAAATATAAGACTAAAGTTTGTAAATATGCTAGCAAATATATCAATCTCAAGTTTTTTCTTTTGATATCACTCACTAATACAATTTAGGAATAGTTATTAGCATAAAAAGATCTTTTTAAAACCTCAAATGAATAAGTGGTTAATGTATATACTGCTAAATGTTTTTTTAATGCTTTGGTAGAAATGTAAGGGATTATTTTTACATTTAGACAAAACATTTTGACCTGGAAGTGTTAAAGTGAATTTACTTTCAGACTAATCTAACTATATCCATTTGATTTGTAAATGCATGTTAACATTTATTCAAGTGGCCTTTGTAAATAATGGAATGTTTTGACCAACTTGGTAAAGAAAGCTGATTTAACTTTTAGGATATCAAAAGTTAATTTTAATTGCCAAAATTTCACCATTTCATTGTAAAGGATCTTCCATGAGTCACTTGCTTTTATTTATTTTCCCAAATCACTTGCATTGTCCATCAATACCTATGTAAAATTCCAACGATATTTTCTAACTTGTGATAAAATATTTTCTACAGTGATTGTTAGATCCACTCACACATAGCTTGAAAAAACTTAGCTGTGTTGCTTCTTTGGATCGTAACAGAGACTAGAATCTAGGCCTTCTGACTCACAATTGCTTTTTTTTCCCATCATGTAATACCTGTAAAGAGCATTCTCTAGACATTTCACTATATATTATGTATCCTTACATACTATTTCCTAAAAGCTCTCTTTCTTTGAAATCTTTCTAGCTGATTCAGAATTATAAATATTTTATATATTACAAGTAGGTTTAGAAAGTCAGAAAATCTGCAAAACTTTTATGGAGTTAGAATGCCATCAGTGATGACTTTGGCCAAATAACAAAACTAGTCAAAACTCTAAATCTCTCCTCAAAAAGAGTATTAATTAATGTTTTCAGTAATAGGAGCTGGATTGAAAAAAATTTAAATTGATTTCTATAGATTTTTACAATTTTCCACCGTTGTCAATCTTATAGATAGTAATCAATAAATAAACATACAACAAATATTATTTCTCCAGAAGCCCTTTTCCCAGTCTACCGAGGCTCCTGGAAGCAACATCATATTGTAGGAAAATTCCTGTGGATTTTCAGACTAGATCTGCAGACTTGGATAAACTCTACGTTTGAATTTAGTGTTCTGCCAGGGTGTATGTGTAGATATGTGTGTGATCCTCATTACAAACTTGTGTGGAAAAAATGTTGTTGCCGTCTCTTTGTGGATGAGAAACCTAAGGCTGTGGGCTCTGTTCATTCGTCCACAGTCCTACAGTGGCAGCACTGGGTGCATCTTTGGGCTGCTTATATGTGATGCCTTTAAAATCCTCGGAGAATTCTTTCCCCAGCCTCACATTCCCTTAGCCCTTGTCTGTGTCTGTCACTGCCCTTGTTTTACTCCATTGCCATTACTTGAAACTGTCCATTTCTTCCCTTAGACTGTGTATTCCTCAAGTGCAAGAACCAAGTCCTATGCTGTGAGTGTCCTGCTACACCTGATGTAGTATCCTCAACTGTGGAGCAGGTGTCAGCACGTGGTTATGAAGGGAATGTCTCGTCCTTTCATTATTCTTTGTGGTCTCTGGATGGTGTGGAGTCAAATTTATTTCCATAATAATATAAATAACATGATAATATACTATCTCTGTGTATTGTTTTTACTATGGACCATGCGCTTGACTAAGCACTTGAAATGGCTTATCGTATTTTTCTCTCACGATGACCCATACTATAGGCGCTATTTTAGTGTGTGTGTTTGTTTGGTTGGTTGGCTTTTCTCCCTCCTCTGGGGCTGGCAGAATCCTGCTGCAGAGCCTCAAGCTTCTTATTCTCCTCAGTTCCTAGGGCATTTAGGTGCAGCTATTGCCATTCTGATGTAGATGCTGGAACTTGTATTATGCTGCCTCAAGCTCATCACAAGAACTGAGGAAATTTCCAATAAGTGGACATTTCAGATTGTTCAACCCAATCAACTAAGCCAGAGAAAATATTGAAGACCAAAGACAGAGTGATGGGGCATCTGTCAGACAGACGTGAGTCTCAATCCTGAATATCAATATCTGCAACCTTAGAAAAGATATGTACTTACTCTGAGCCTCAATTTCCTCAGTGGTAAAAATTATAAGTATTTTTTTGAAGAGATGTCATGTATAAGATCTAGCATCACAGTATAGGCTTTAGAAGTTTGCATCTAGTATCATAAGATATTTTTTTAGCATGCTTCCTTTTTGTACAAAAATGTGTATGGAATTAAAAAGAAATCAAAACTCTGAAATAGCAGAGGATCCCAAGATTACTCTAAGAAAGTTATTTGTTTCATAAAAATGGAGCTGAAGTTCTCTGATAGAGAAAGAAAACCTCTTGGTAAGAATGCCACTGTTTTGTGTATCTTTTGAGAAGATATGCAGGCACAGCTGTAAGATGTTAAGATGTTTTCCTTGTCCAATCCCTTATGGATTGTGACCCCTTCAGCCTGTCTCTTACATTCTCTAGTCCTTGGTTTGTTTCAGCTCTAAAATGGTGAAGAAAAGCTGTTCTCTTCCAATTTTTCTCAATAGTTAAAAGGATGGGTGAAAACAGCCCTTGAAAATAAAAGGTGCTGTACAACAGAATTCTATTACATAAGAAGTGTGTGATTAAAATCTGCAGAGCTCAACAGATATTTAGGAAAAGAGCACTCTGAAAATATGCTGGCACAATGCCAAATGGCAGCTCCGATTTACAATCCATTAGGAGAGAATGTACCCAGAACACACTCCATTTAAGGTGCTGGGCACACTAAATTTAGGGGAAGCCAAATGGCAAAAGTAATTTTTAAAGCAGTCTTGAGAAAATTTTTGCAGGAAATAAAGAACTCTTAGCCAGCATATAATCAAGAGGAATGAGCTCTGTGAATTTTCGAAAGACCCCCATGAGTATACTGTTACCTTAGGAGAAGAATGGAGGGAAAAGCTTGAAAGGAGTAAAAAGTTAGATTTCATGTGTAGAGGCAATGTTTTATGACTTAAAAAGCATGACCCAAAGCAAATTTAACCAAATATTAATGTTTGTCAAATTGTGAAGTTTTACCACATGGATGTTCACTGTATTATGCTCCGTTGCTTTTGTATATCTGAGATATTTGATAGTTTTAAATTGATTTTCAAACAGGATCATATGGTGTCCTGCAGCACGGATGATTATTTTATTATTAGGACTGACTAGAGTGAAAGTAACTCTGTCAGGCATGAATGACTGAAACATCAGCAATGTTTTCACTGTCTGATAGAGCGAGGGCTTCCTCAAGAGCCAGGCAGGAATGGCCCTGCAGTACTCCAGAGATGCTATTCATATAGACTATCACGGGACTTGTGACCCCTGGTGTTGGTCCACTCATCAGCCCTTGGGAGGAAGACTGAGAAAGAGGAACACAAATTACTGAAGTGCCATTTAAAATTGAAGTGAACGAAGCAGGCAGGACTGGTTTCATGAATGTGGTGGCTTTTGAACTCTGTCTAGAGAGATGACTAGAATTTGGGTAAGTGGTGGCATAAGGGAGGGAGGCAGGCCATTTCTGGAAGGTGGAATAGTGAGGGTGAAGTCATAGAGTTGAGAATACAGTGTATTTGTACATTCCTCCAGCTCAGAATTTGTCCAATACACTTTAACCTGGAAAAACTCAAATTCTGAGGAGATAAAATTGTGACCCGATTTACTTTTTGCTCTCCTCCAGAGTCCAATTTTACCTTTTTCCATCCATGAGTCTCTTCCTGTGTTTCAGTGAGCCCTTTTGCGCTAAAGTCTTAAGAACTGTAGGTTTTACTTCTCTCGGGAGCATTTTCCTTCCAGCACAGACCCGTGTAGAGGCATGGTGCTCTAAGGGAAGAGAGCACCCTCACCAGAGTGGCCTTTCTCAAATCAAGCTCCCCTCCTTTTGAGAGGCTTCAGTTACCTCCCATCAAATACACAAGACCTATCACATACAAAGTCCACAGCACGGCTTTCAGACACTTAAGGATCTGCACCGTTTCATTCAGTTTTCTCCTACTCTCCGCACTGCAGCCACTTTCATTTCAACACCTTTGCTTTCTTCCATCTCCCTTAGAGGCCCATACTGGTGGTGGGGCCTGGAGGCCAGACCTCATATGCGAATGGCGCTCAATTACAGGCTTCAACACTTACCAGCAGTTTAATTTGGCTAAGTTATTTCCTCAGGGACCTTTGGTTCTTCCTGTGCAAGTGAGATAAAAATATTTAGTGTTCAAGGTGGTTGTTATATTTAAATAAAATAAGTGTAAAGTGCTTAGCTTTTCTAGAGATGGCAAACTCTCAACATGGTCAGTTCCTTTTTTTCTCACTCATCTTTGAATGCAGCCCTTTGCTTTTGTTAATTTTTGAATGGACTGAGCCCTTCCATTCCCCCTTCCCCCCACTGCCCAACGACACCATTTTGATGGGTTTAACCTGACCCATTTTATCCTGTCCTTACCACCCTGGAAAGTAAGGTTTTCATCCCCCTCTCTCTTTTGTGTTTCTCTTCTTCACTGTATCAACTGCCTTCTTCGAATCTGAGATATATTATGTCAGCTTCTGGATCTAAATTGTTCACATTCTGCAGTGTGCAAAGGCTAACCTCATGATAAAACACACAGTATTTAGAAGGTTTAAAAAATGCAAACAATTCTGCTAACCACAAGTAGAATAAGTTGATTGCCACAGTGTCACCATTGTGGTGAGGCCTATGCACCTCCAAGTAGTGATTCTGCAAAACAGACCTTGTTCTGCCTCTGTGCTCCTAATCTGGGCATGAACCCACACATTGAGGACACTGTAATATGTGAGGTCATCAGGAGAAGTGGTTTATGTTACTGCTGATTATGAGCTTAGGGTGGATTGCTGGAGCATTTTCAGAATCAACTCCTAATGCTGAGGAAGCACTTGCTGATCCTGTGAGCCAACGCGGACATAAGGCAGGTCCCGTGTGTACAGGGCATGAAAAAACCATAGCATGTGAAAGGAAGAGATCATCCTGAACAACTCCCAAATTTTATTTATTTTTTATTTATTTTTATTTATGATTTTGTTTATTGAAAATATAATGTAAAGCAATATTGAAAATCATTTTGAAATAAAAAATCACTTGTAACAAATTTTACCACATTTGTTTTGCTTATCATAAACCTGTGCATCTGTCATTTGGAATGCTGCTTTATATTCTGTAATTTTTCTTTAATATTTTCCTTTTATTTTTATATTTGCTTTCTGTCAGAGAATTTACTAGGTGCTGAAGATACAGTGATGAACATAGCATTCATGAGAAATACAAATTACACACACGTATATAGGTATGTATATGTATATATTAAATAATTAAAGAAAATGAGGTTTCTGTGAGGAAGAAGTGGGGAAGAATGCTTCAAGAGGTAATTAATAGTATCTCCCAAAGCCTCTGTCTTTGCAATAACACTTATACTTCACAACACAGAAGGAGAGAGAATACTAAGTTGCTTCCATGAACTGCTTTCATCCAAAAGTCAAGTATCCCTGGATAGTGTTGCTGTTCTCTTCAGAAAGTTCCTATGGCTAAAAATTAAGTCACCCGTCTTTAGATACCCATTATATGATGGTACAGAAGGAGCAGAAGATCTGCAAAAAAAGCCCCTGCCCAAAAGGGGACTGCAAAATCAAAACACAGTGGTGGCTGGGACTTGGCATATAGCTTCTTCCTGCGAACAGGACAAGTGCAGACTCTGGGTCCTGGAAGTGGAGTGAGTTCCGGGATCGGTCAATCATAGGGCAGTTCCTGATTCTGTTCTCTAAAATAATTTCCTTTGTTTATTGTCCTCCATTGTCCTGGTCCTACCTTCTGAAAGAATCTCCCTTGACCTTCTCCTTCATGGCCTTATCTGAGATGGGCAATTAGGAGAAGGCCTTTCTAAGGACAGCACATGGTTAGTAATCCACTTCTTGGTGTCTAAATTCAGGGATACAAGGATGACCTTAATAGCTGAACAATTAGAGGTTTTTGCGAAACAGTTTTAGGTTTCTGTAGCATTAGAGCCTCATTCTGATTTAGCATGCCACTGGTCAGTTGTTTCTTACCCATCCCATGCACTAATAGCAACAGCCAGATATTTTATGATTTTATATAACATGAGATTTTCTCCTCTTAGCCAAATTTCTCTATATTTTTCCAACTTTCTTGTTAAATTTTCTACTTCTCTGGCTCTTCTCCAAACTTCAGTGTGAAAAGGAAAATTAAGTTTTCCAACCCTCTAAGACTCCAAAGCATCCATTTTTACTGTATGCCACAAAAGGTTTCCTTAGAAAAGCTATATTGTACTCCCTCCCTGCATTTGTTTTTTGATGAGCCAACTTTAACTAAATTTTGTCTGTTCTTGGAGGACCTTACTAAAAAAAAGCAGGAATCAGTTTTCATATGGAAGCGTTCTGATTCCTTTTTTTATTATTCCCCCTAATATTACACACTTGAGGAACAGGTGAAAATTAGGTAACTATTTTATAAGCTCCTAACAAGGGCCGTCATCTCCCAGACCTGAAATAGTTGGGTCATCAGAGCCCTGTGCTCCACCTTGGAGTTCAGCACACTTTTTCTATAAAGGTTTGCAGACCATATGGTCTCTATTACAACCACTCAATCCTGACATTATAGCATGAAAGAGCTGTAGTCAATATGTAAACAAATAGATGTGGTTGTATAGCAATAAACTTTATTTACAAAAATAAATGGCAAGTCAGATTTGACCTGCAGACCATAGTTTCTGACCTCTACTCTTAACTCCTTCGCTCATCCAATTCCACATTTTAGAGTCTGTTACTTTCAAACCCCTGCTGTTCCTAAATATATTCTGATTTGACAATAGCAGGAAACCTAATTCAAAACATTTTAAACAATGAGGAACATTTATATTCTCATATAACCAGCAATTCCAAATTAGGGCCCCTTTCAGAATTGTTTAATGCACCAATATACTAGCTCAGTGTTATCAGCAAGGGCCCAGGTTATAAACAGCTGTCTACCTTACCATCTTGAGAGATTAAGACTCATCTTCAGGCTAGTGCCTCTCATAATCACAAGATAGCTGCAGGAAGCCTTGCAGTTATATGCAGACACAGCATCCCACGGTAAAAAGAGTCTTTTCCTTATATCTCCTTTACAGGGTGAGAAAACTTTCCCATATGCCTCCATTTACATACTTGCCCTCACTTTTTATTGACATAAACTGGGCCACATGCTCACTTGCAAGCAAATCACAATTACAGGAAATAGCATTACCACCATTGGCTTGGACTTCTCAGGATTTATTCCTGACTGAGGATAGAGTAACCTCTTTTAAATGGAGGATGCCTGAACAAAATCTAGGTCCTGATTACAATGATGTGGGAAATAGATTTTGGGGTAAAAAACCAATAATGTGAAAAACACACTTATAGTGCTTTGTGAATTGTTTCCTTTGGAAAATATTTCAAAAGAGGAATTAATTCATCAAATATTAGGCATATATATGTATACCTAATACATATATATTTTTTTTCTGAGGAAGCTTTGCCCTGAGCTAATATCTGCTGCCAATCTTTCTTGTTTTGTATGTGAGCTACTGACACAGCATGGCCACTGACAGATGAGTAGTATAGGTCTGCACCCAGGAACCAAACCTGGCCCACCAAAGCAGAGCGCACCACACTTAACCACTAGGCCACCAGTGTTGGCCGAAATATTAGGCACATTCTTATCACTCATGCTTACATTTTTCTTTCCCAAAAGGTTGAAAGAATGAACTTGGAGAGTAAGAATAGATTAATTATACAATGATCCTTCCAATGTTTCTACTCAATTGTTCAAATTTTTTGGTTTATAATATTTTATTATGGAAAATCCCAAATGTATGCAAAGTAGAGGAACTCATATAATGAATACATATGTACATATACTCAGCTTCAATGTCATCAACTGGCCAAATGTGTTTTATCTATTCCCCTATTCACCCCCACTATCCACTGGATCGATTTTCATCGTTTTATTTAATATTTCAGTGTATATCTCCAAAATTTAAGGAAGTTTTAGAAACCAAAACCGAAATATCAGTTTCATACTTTAAAAAATCATCATCCTTAATATCATGATACTACTCTCCAGCCCTTGCTTGTATTTCACAGATTGTCTCATAGATTGATTCATGTAGTTGTTCCCATCAGAACCTAAGAAGGTCCATTCATGACGATTGTCTGATATGTTTCTCCAATCTCCCTTAACGCCTGGGTCGTCTCACTCTCACTGTGTCTCTTGCAGTTTATTTGATGGACACTTAAATGTTTGTCTTGCAGATTTACCCACCTTCTAGATTTTGCTGGTTACATTCCCTTGGTGATGTTCAACATGTCCCTTGGTCCCCGGTGTTTCCTATAACCCGAAAGATTTAGAAATGTGATCAGATTCAGATTCAACTTTTGTCAAGAGTATCTCATAGTTGGTGTTGTATAGTTCTATCAAGAGGCACATAGTGCCTTATTTTATTTCTTTTTGCAATAATAGCAGTCATTGGTGATCATTGGCTAGATTTATTATGTCGCTAGGACAATATTTCCTTCTAAAGATATATAAACTAAGGCTCAGTTACGTTCAATTACTTGTACATAGTCAAAGAGGAAGTGTGGCAAAATTCGTCAGCAAATCCTTTTGATTCTAACTTTAAAATATAGCTTGAATAAGACCTTTTTACATCTCCTCCCTCATTACCACATTAGCACAATGTCTGTTTTCTGCTGCCTGGACTACTTCCTAGCATCTTAATTATTCACCCAGTTTCAAGCCTTACTTCCTCCAGCCTATTTTCCACATAGTAGCAGAGCAAGCTTTCACAACAGCCGTTAAACCAAGTCACTGTTCTTAACCTCCTAATGACTTCCCATCTCACTTAGAATAAAAGGCAAACTTGTTATCAACGTTTATAGGCTTCTACATTATATGGCTCCTGGCTTTGTCTCTTACCTCATTTTGGGCCACTCTCCTCCTGGTCACTGTTCTGTAGCCACAGAGGCCTCTGCTCTTCCTCGAATATTTCAAGCACTTTCTGACTGCACTGGTTTTGCAGTCGGGCTGTGATGCTCTTTTCCCAGATGTTTGCATTGTTCATTCCCTACTTGCTTCAGATTTTTGCTCATCCTTAACCTCCTCAAAATGACCTTTTGTGATCTCCCCATTTAAAATTGTACTGCTGTTTCCAGACCCTGATTTTTATTTCTTTTCTGCATATTTATAAATACCTGACATTGGATGCTTTTATCAACAGTCTTTTCCACTTGTATGTGAAGTTCATAAAGGATGGTTGTGTCTGTGTTGCTCATCCTCTTAATATGATAGGACTAGAACAGTGTCTGTCACATAGTAGGTGCCCAGTAATGTAAATGTTTGAATAAAAGGATGAATGAACCATTCAGAACAAGAAACTACATTGAATAACTCCCAGGCTTCATCAGACCTTGTCCAGGTGACACTATGTGATGAGTTTGAGCTTTTATTTTGTTAGACTCTACATGCAAGAATTCCAGGCTTACACACCTTAAGAGACCAGTTTAATGCTGTATTGCCTAATCACTTTGGGAAACTGCTTCCTAAGTCAAATTTATTCCATATTTGATTTGCAGAATAATTGCTGGCCTTACTAACTAAATCTTTCTCTATATTTGATTCTATTTAAAGAAGAAAAAATAATTAATGAGCAAGTATGTTGCAAAGATTAGAATTAAAGCGTGCAAAATTCCTAAAATATTGCTGATGCTTGATAAAATCTGGCAGGGCTAGTGGCAGTATTTGTAAGAGCGGTAGAAGTAGTTGTTATTGTTACTCAACTGAAAATTTGTTTGGGTTTGTTTCTCCTTAAAACGTTTACAATTGAGCAAGGAATTGGAAGGAGGATAATTTTATGTAAACTAATAATTATAATATGTCCATTATCAATACTGTGATGAAAACTACATGGGAAAATATAATGGTGATTTTGCAGAAAATGCCTCATAAAAGGTGACATACTTCTGGAAAACCATAAAATTCCATGTGTTGCACAGTGAAATAAAGTTTTAAAATGGCATTACTAATGCTTGGTAAGTTTGCTAATAGCCAGTGGCCAATTTCAATAATAAGTAATCGTGTGTGTTCTGAAGTCACATTATATACCAGTGCCTAATGCATTAGTGTTTGCTTCACAGCAGTCATTCAAAAACATTTTTTTCTCCTCCTCACAGACATACTATAGTTTTAAACTCTTTTTCACGAGAAATAATAATAAATTTACAAAGTAAAAAATAGATGATTTAATTGGATAAAATGCCGTTTGTTTTATATGGTATCACTACTATCAACAAATTGCTGATGCTTGAAATAATCCACTTCTGGAATTCTTCTCTATCACACTTGGATGATGTCATAATATGGCCTGAATCTTTTCTGAGCTTGTCACAAATTCCATTCTTGGAGTTGTTTTCTTGGTTCTATCAAGGAAAACAGGAAGGAGGTATGTCTTTTTATTGATAAAGAAATTACAGAAGTATGTGTGTTTTTGTCTTTAGCTTTTTACTTTTTAGATGTTGTTACTTTTGTTGACAAAAGCGAGTAATAGCACGTCATTGAAAACCATTGAGAAGACACTGAACCTCAAGATATTAGTGGGGAGGGGCTGACCCCATGGCCGAGTGGTTGAGTTCGCGCGCTCCGCTGCAGGCGGCCCGGTGTTTCGTTGGTTCGAATCCTGGGTGTGGACATGGCACTGCTCATCAAGCCACGCTGAGGCAGCGTCCCACATGCCACAACTAGAAGGACCCACAACGAAGAATATACAACTATGTACCAGGGGGCTTTGGGGAGAAAAAGGAAAAAAATAAAATCTTTAAAAAGAAAAGATATTAATGGTGAAGTCTGCAGATATTCTTTATAGGCTAGCCTGTTAGTTGATGAAAATAGTACGTGCATGACTGCTCTCTATAAATGACATTCATTTGAGCAAATGATCAAGAGCAAATGATTGTGACTCAGAAGTTTTGAGACAAGGCCTAGCATTGGTAGAAACTGTTTGTGCAACCTTGAGCAAGTCATTTACCTTCTCTGATTATCAGTTTCTCTATTGATTAAATACTCAGGTTACATTATTTCATCAGTTTTAAAATTTAGGGGACCTTAGTGTATGTATTAAAAATTTGGACTCTCGGACTCCTCCCTGAGAGATGTAGCAGTCCTGGAGAAGTGCCGAGGCATCTGCGTTAGAATACACAGTGCAGTCACCATGGACCTCACACTGAAATTTCATCCGCTGTCTCTAAGGTATCCTTGAACTCTACAGTCTCTAATTTTTTTTCATTTTCTTCTGAGCATTGTATTTGGAAGTGGCATTTTTGTATTCTAAGCCCCGATGGCACACTCACTAAGTGGGATCAAACAGAATCCTCCTAGCCACCATGTTTCATCACTCAGAGCCTTTGCTGATAGGCCACTGAATGTGACTTTTAGTATCAGAGAGAATTCCTGTAAGAATTCTGTTTTATCTTTTGATAGAATATTTCTCAGTAAATGACAAAGTTCTTGGAAAACTTGGTTTGGCATACTTAGCCCTGCATTAGACAGGAAAAGAAAGATTGGGCATCCATATGGACCTCCTGATCACACTGGCAAAATAAGACTGAACATAAGACCTATCGTTAACTTTGGGTGGTAATTTTTGCAGGAGATAAAATGTTAAGCCAGCCTAGTGTAAAAAGGTCCCAGAAACTATGGCAGTGTGTGTCTGTGTATGAAGGGCCAGGAGGTACTGAAGGGGTACTAATGATGTCTGACATGATCTATAATGACAATTTCCTGAGTTGTTCCAGTAATAAAAAATATACTTACTATTTTCCTTCAAGTTTATGATCTACTATGATGATGATAATTTATGTTTTACAGAAATCAAGACTTCTTTTAATTTTCTTATGTGCTAGGAAATAGAAGATAACTCATTTCTTTTTATCAGCCTGATTAATTTCCATAGAATCATATATATATATATATATATGAATTAGAAAACATTTATGTCATAGAGCCCAAAGCCCAACATTGTGCATTGATCAGGAAATTGTAGAAATAAACATATTTACAATTGAGTGTTACAATTATTTCCCTGAGTATATGCTGAAGTTATCTACCTCTGTGCCTTGTTAATTTGTTCTATGATTTTGTATGCTCAGCTCTGCCCTCTGAAAATCGTATGCATTCTTCAAGACCCAACTCCAATGACACTTTTCTTCCTTCTACTACTGTTGCTATACCCACTTGGAATTAATGTCTGGTATCTCTCTGCTTCTAGGCTATTAGAACATATTCCAGTGCTGACAGAATGTTCCTTTATGTTTAGTATTAAATGAGTATTTTCAGTTAAACCTCATAGCCTGTAAATTCTTTCTAAATGTGTCTTGTGTCTGTCTGATTTCCTGTAACCTCACAGTTACAGCTGCAGTTTTAAACCACCACGTGTTGTCCCATGGGTAACTGAAGCAGCCCAGTCACAGCTGCCGTGACTTGACTTGTATCCTGCTCACATCCATTCTCCACACCGAGAAGACGCATTAGACCGGGTCTCTCTGCAGCTGAAAAGCTTGCAGTAACTCCCCATTTTCCTTAAAATACAGTCTAAACAACTCCATAGGTCAAAGCAGGCCATTCAAGGGCTGATCCCTGCTCTCCTTGGTGGCCCCATCTCTGTCCCCTGCCCCCTTCTCCATCACTTTTTACTGTGTTTTCCAGTAATACCAAACTTTTCCCTCACCTCCAGATGTTTTTGCATGATGTTACTTCTCTCTGGAAAGCTTCACTCTTCCATTTTATTTGGCTAATTCCTACTTATTCTTCAAGTACAGCTTAGAAATCACCTCCTATGGGAGATCTTCCCTGCCCCGACTCCCACACCAAGTTTGGGTAAGACTCCCTCTGCATGCTGCTTTGGCACTTCCCTGCCATCACATTTCTCCCACTCTCGTAAGCATAAGTACTTATACACTTAAGGGCTCCCTTCTACCTAAGTCGCATTCATCCCTTGGGCTGACACTATATGGCACACAGTTCAACAAACATGGAAGTACTGAAATGAAATGTGCTAGGTTCATATTTTTCTTGGAAAGTAAAGGAAAGGAGATGCTTTTGGGCTGGAGTCAGTTGATGAAGACTTGAAGAGTACATGAAATTGTTTATCCACCCCCAGTATACAACCCTTGGCCTTGATTCCCATATCTATCCTATGTACTTTAATGACTTGACATTGGAGGAGCAACAGTTACGTGAATCATGCCCTTACATTAAATCCACTATATATGTATGTTGTAATTCTAAGTACTGAGATCTATGTAATGAAAGAACATGACGTGTCTCATTTT